GGGGGGGGGGGGGCGTGACGACCCACATCCGAAGGGGCCCAGAGGCTTCCCGCTGGCTTTCCAAACTGATTTACGTTCACAAATCTTCCCCCTAAAACAGCCCGGCTCTGCTGACTTTCCAGCTGACACCTCTAGGATGTGACCCTATTTCCTGCTGGAACTTTTTGGGCAACAAATGAGATATTTAGCTGCAAGTTCCTGTGTTTCTTAAAAGTAGAAAAAATCTTTTTTTGAAAGTCTTATTGGAGATGGCCATTGGTGGAAAACACAGAACTGGGATTTTTTTTTGCTGTTTATTCTCGGAAGAACCTCAGAACACAAGCAGTGGCAGCTGACACTTCTCTTCAAGGACAGAAGAGACGGACGCGCCTCCCCTGAACAATCGGGTTAACAGCTGTGAGATACCGAACTACCTTGTGTGGCTGTGAACGTGGCCTGGCTCCCCGCCTCCCACCCCTGGCCCTGCCCCACCCCACCGGTTACAGAAACATCCCGGTTGCTATGACAGTGGCGACACCAGAGCACCGGCAGGCAGAGCCGAGCCAACATTAATGAGCGGCTCAGGCCAGGAGGGTTGGGAGTGGGCCAGCACCCGGTCCTGGGCGTGTCGTCTTCCCAGGGTCCTCCAGCTGGGGACCCCACCGTGGCCCAGGGGGCTGGGCGGGGCGTGTCCCAGCCACACTCAGAGCAGATGACGTCTCCATGCCTGTTACTTGTGCCAGAGGCCGGAGGCCGCTCCCCTCCCTGGAGGCAGATTAGGGGCCTTTCGTCTCCCTCAAAGGAGAAGAGAGCCATGACCCTTTTTCCAGTGTGTGGACGCATTTACCTAAGAAGGTAAAGCCATGCCTCGTACACATCTGTTGAATGACTGGATGGATAAATGCCTGCAAGGAGAAAGGAAAGTAACCTCTGGTCTCAGTCTACGAGCCAAGTCACATTTTCATACGCCTCCCTCCTGTTATCCACGTCTCCAAAACGTACACTGTTCACCCACCAGAACTGTCTGCTGGTGGATTTGATAGAGACAGTAAATTGGCGCCCGGTACCATCTCTGAACCCTGAATTTACTAACAGAAGTAAAAGGCAGCACTTAAAAATCGGTAACGAAACAGCACTGAAACAGCAAACCTGTTCCTGATTACAGGCGTCACACTCGGGGTGATCATAGCCAGAGGGCCCCAGACCCACAGGCACCTGACCCGGTGGAGGGAAGAGCCACGTGTGGTTGTCCACGCGTCCCGCAGGGCTGTGGGCGGTCTTCGTGGCACCGCTAGGCTCTGCCCTGACGAGGAAGCCCACTGCCCTTGCGGGGCAACAACGCTGTCTGAACCCCAAGAGGGGTGTTGGAGGTCTAACCGGCCTGGGCACCGCACGTCAGCCAGCTCACCTCCGAGGGGCCCTGTCTTGTCTGCTGCCCTCGAGAAGAGTGTCCTCAGCCACCCCAAGAGAGACTCCCAGCCATGAGCCTGGGGCCTCAAGTCTGCCACATCCACGGAGTGTTGGAACTCTGCTCTTTCCTACTCAGTGTGTTGGTTTTCACAACTACAGGCCAACCTCTGCAAATAACACCTAAACAGGTACTTGAGCCCAGGGCACTAGTCCTGTAAAAGCGAACCTCCCCAGCCCAAGGCCTCTGTGCACAGAGTCAGGACACGTGGAGGAATTACAGCCCCAGGCGCTCCCATCTTTTCATGGGCTTTCTGGTCATTCTAAACACCTAAAGGGTCTACAAATTCTGGCAGCCAACACAGCTCATTATACCTACATAGAAGCCTATTGGTCTCAAAAGATCAGTTTCATGATTAAAACGTTCCATTTCCATGAATATATTTTTGACTGCCTTTTGCTATTTTACTTTAGCACTTGAATTAAATAGAACAAAAATCCGTAAAACCTGATGAGATTGGATTTTATAATCAAGTTACCAACAGCCTCCCCTACTGCATGCTGAGTTACAAGTCAGGAGAGCTCCAGGCTGAGCTGCCGGACCCCGCAGGGCTCGCTGATGTCTGCGCCCGGGGAGGGGCATGACCAGGACACAGGAAGATTTACTAACATGCATGGCAGGTTTCCTCCAATTCCCAGAAAGAATAGGTGACAACATGAAAGACAAGTTTAAAATAAGGCTGTTAAAATGGAAGATAGACGTTTAACATATGGTGAGAGGGAGGAAAGTTACACCTATCCAACCCCACCGTGAGTGGTTCCGAGTTTCCCGGTAGCTAAGGAACAAATGGAAATATGGCGGAACACACACTTCTCACGATTTACCTAAAAATGAAACACACCAGCTCTCCAGGAGGAAACACCATGAAAAGAGGGGCTGGCATGTCTTCCGAGAAAATTTTACAAAAGATGCAGAAACATGCTCAAGGGTTGCTTCTTTTCTGTCCTCAGCAGGTGGGGACTCGAGTGACGACCTGTGAGAATCGCTTGGCACAGGAGGGGACGCTGACGGGGGCCGAGGACGCTGGGCGGCCACGAGTCCCAGGAAGAGCCCGGTGAGGCCCCATTCCGCACGCAGACATGACAGGGTCGCCCCTCAGGCCCGGGGACTGTGGGGTGGAGGGGCCCCGGAGGAGCCTCTGGTCACCCCCTCCTCGCTGTGGACCCCACAGCCGCGCCTGGTCTCCTTTCCTCTCTGCGTCTAGCACCCCGGCAGCGCCGGGCAGATGACGAGCGTCCCTGAAACGTTTGTCCCAGGGATTAAAGGAGAAAGTCTGTGATGAAATGACCACGCACGGCAGCTTCTGAAGACACTCGCCGGAGACACGAAGTGGGGACAGTCACAGTTCCTATTCTGCTCCTCCGAGGGGGACTCCCGTGTCCCTCCCTTTGGTCTGGGCTGGCCTCAGGGCCCTGACTGACCAGCAGTGACT